TGGTGCTCCCCAAGTCATTTCCTAACATGAAGATGAAGTCTTTTTCTTTTCCTAAGTCTTCTCCGTCCAGGAAGGGATCCTTCTGAGTCCTCTCTACTTGCAGCAAAAGGCATGAGTGCAGTAAGGTCACAAAGCCAGCGGGGACACAGCGCCAGCGAGGTCACACTGCCAGTGATGTCACATTGCCAGCGATGTCACACTGCCAGCGAAGACCTACCAGCGATGTCATAGTGCCAAGGATGTCACATTGCCAGCGATGTCATAGTGCCAACGATGTCACATTGCTAGCGATGTCATACTGCCAGCGATGTCACAGTGCCAGCGATGTCACAGTACCAGCGATGTCACAGTGCCAGCGATATCACAGTGCCAGCGATGTCACAGTGTCAGCYATGTCACACTACCAGCGATGTCACAGTGCCAGCGATGTCACACTGTCAGCGAAGACCTGCCAGAGTAGCGACAAAGGCCAGAAGGTTCCATACATTAAAGCCCAGTCAAATTACGAAGCCCATCTACAGACGTAAAGAAAAAAAAAATCCGCGAAGACTTAGGAAAGTTAACATTATCTTTTACGGAAAAACTGAGCCGACTTAGAGGACTATATATATCAATGTACAACCCTTGTAAAAAGGATCCGAAAATTTATTCATAAAAGCATATACAGTAATAACAAACGTTTCTCTTTGCTCATCATTTCTTTCGTAGTTTAACCTAGAAATCTCTGTTTTCTCACGAAACCCTTACAAATCTAATTGTGCTAGTATTGGCTTCCACAATTTGGCGCCATCTAAGGGGAATTTGAACATTCTCACACAAAAAGTTACGTTACACACCAGATCTGAGAAGATGAGCGACGAAGAGAACAAATCAAGCAGTAGCAGCGAGGAGTCCTCCTCGCACATAACCAACCAAGAGAGTGAGAACTCCGTCGAAGTCCCCGCTACCAACGTCGCTGCTAATCCAGGAGACATAACCGAGGTCAAACATATGCTGAAAACGCTCCTCAGAGAGTCGAAGGAGCAAAAGAATTTCAACGAGACAACTACAAACGAGCTGAAAGCTCTTTCGTGAAGAAAGCGCGAAAGACTCGACACCATAAGACTCAGGGGTCACTTTGACTTCGTACTACGCATCACCTCAACTTCTCAACACCTCGTACTACTCAAAGGGATCTAGGCGACTTGCCGCCACCACCGCCACGACGGGAATCTGACAGAACTTCTGAACGCTTTGTGGAGATCTCGGACGAGGATCAAACAACTCCTCGAAGATGTGCACGAATGGAGGATGCGAGTGGTAACCCAAGGGAAGCGCATGCTCTAGACAGTCGAAGCGTGTCATCGTACTCTCGGACGGAAACCCTACAAGGCACTTTGGAGTATAACGACTACCCCAGCGTCGACGAACGCGGACCCTCCATAGCAGAACATTACAAGAGGGGGCAGGAGCGTAGGGCGCTAAAATAATCTCGGAATGTAGAAATCGCTGAGATATGAGCTCAGATGGAGCGAGTCATCTCCGATCTGAAGACAACCCAATCGCAGATACATCATGGCACGGGGAAGCCTCATGAAATCGCCCATGTGCTCGAGAAAGCACGAAACACACCCTTCGCCGAACGGATCGCGAGGACTAAATCTCCGATCCCGAAAGAATCAAGTTACCAATCTACGAAGGAACCACAGACCCTTCAGACCATCTGATGGAGTTCGAAGTGGTTCTAGGGAGAGCAAACTTCAGGGAAGCCGAAAAGGATATCGGCTACTACAAACTGTTCGTGGAAAGCCTCAAGGGGTCTGCCCTCTAATGGTTCTACAAGCTGGAGAAGAATTCAGTTCATACCTTCCACCAACTTTCTGAGATGTTTGTGCAGCATTACAATATCTTCACGGAACGAAAAATCTATGACGCTGAGTTATGGACAAATCGGCAAGGCGAGAATGAAAGTCTACGGTCTTTCATGACGAAGTTCAAACACACGCTGTCAAAGATGGATGGTATTAGCAACACGTCCGCGCTAGAAGCTTTGAGAAGAGCGCTCGATGTCCGTCTTTATTCTGGCAAGAGTTGACTATCAACCCGCCAACGACTATCCAAGACGCTCTCTATCGCGCTATAGAATTTGCTCGAAATGAAGAGGAAGTCCGTGCTTAATGGGGTGGAAAGACTAAACAGGAGAGCGAACCAACTCAGGCCGCGAACCCCGCTATTACTAGTTCTCTTTAAAGCCTTTTGCAA